ATAGATAGCAAAGGTATTTTTACTGAAAAATAAGCACCAGGGAGAGCAGTACAATAGCGATTAAAATATAGAGCTAACCTAGAATTCTAGATGAYCAGTGTTCACGTCACATTCGCATCACCTTCATCGTTCAAGTTTACCTGATCGGTCAACCAGCAACGAGAGTCTGACTCCCCAGTGAGCGCTATAGGACTGCGCTGCCAGTGAACAGCAAGTGTCTGAACTGTAGTGGGGARCAATTCTCCCAAGGAGCGGCGAGTGTCTCATCTGCCAATGAGAGGCTCGGAGCTGTTCTGGCAACAGTGGCACGCGACTGGTCTGCCGATGAACGACAAGTGACTGATCTTCTGTAGGGAGCATATCTGCCAATGAGCAGTGGGTGTCTGTTCTGCCAATCTTCTGTTGGGAACAGATCTGTCAATGAACAGAGGRTGTCTGATATGCCAACGAGCAGCTCGAAGCTGATCTGCCAGAAGGTCGCAGGCGACTGATCTGCCAATGACTRAACACCACGAAACTGGTCCGGCAATCAGCATCCCTTCCCGAACACCTGTGCTTGCATCTGTACGAGCATCTTCACGCACCTGGGGCTCAATCATGACCAGGTTCTCTTTCGGTGTTCACTCTTTCTCCCGCTTGACCAGTATAGTTGTATAGATCTTCTATTCCCACTGGTTTTCCCAAGCCAGTTCGAACTCTCTTTCTCTCATCAAGGTCGCTCTCTTATATCCTTTAGTTGATCGATGCTTGTCTTGACCAATCAGCAAATCGTAATCTCTCTTTCAGGCGAACCAACATCCAGAGGCCGTCATAGCTCTAGGGTCGTCACACTTGACGCTCTCTTGCTGCCCTTGCCAGGCTCAGAAACCGCTCGAGCATCAAAGAACTGAACGCAAGATCACCCTTCATGATGTGAAAGTGGAGTCAGATTCGAGATCCCAACGGTCAACTTCCCAATTTAAACTCCCTCTTGAGGGCTGTGAAAACGGATTTTTGATATGTGGCAACAGCCCAAAGTAATCGACGTTCATCCATCATCATATCATATCTCGGTACAAGGAACGACCCACAACAACAGATCTCTCTCTCTCTCTCTCTCTCTCTCTCTCTCTCTCTCTCTCTCACTGAGCAGTCCCTCTCTCTCTCTCACACACTCTCTGCAGTCTTCCTCTCTCACCGCAGACTCTCTCTCTCCCTCTCTGCAGTCTTCCTCTCTTGCTAC